CCATGCAAAAGCCTTCCTGACATCACTAGTATATAGTAGCCAGGGAGGCCTTCTCAACCCAGCAGTGTGCTCCACCTTCTGACACCACCTTGCCAGGCAATTCTGAGTGACGATATGTACATGTCAACATTTTGTCGGTACTTCTACACTTCTGAGCACTTTTAAGCCAATAAACTTAGCAAACCATAATCTAACAGCAAGAAGGAAAAAATATATAAATTTAACAAAGTAAACAGTTATACATGTAAAGTAAAAATACATTTACCAAGACATACTCTACCCTATTAGCTGGAAGTAGCAAAGACCAACTGGCTAAACAATTCTAACAATCTATATACAAACTTTAACAACAAAGTGGTTACTAGGAGTACTATGGAATGTCTGTGAAAATCATAATTAATTATATATATGTACTTTATTAAATGTATGAATGTATGAAGACAGAGTCTCAGGTTCCAGGTGATCTGTCCCACTTCACTCTGTCATTATCCAACTTTTCTACAGTGAGTGAGCAAGTATTGCTTTTGTAATAACATTTCTTAAGTTTCAGCCAAATTGCTTTTTCCCAAAGCTTGGCAACATTATTTCAGATTTATAAATAGCAGTCATGATAAGATTACAGAAAATAAAATTCTAAATTCATTGACTTCAGTAAGGAGAAAAATGCACCCAGAGGGAAGGATAAGTGCATAGGAAACAATCATCTAGAACAAATGTGACCCCGAAGCATCTGCCCTCTCCAAATATATGGAGAGTTGAAACAGAAAATATCCAAGATTGCTCCAGTGGAGAGAGTAAAAGAGGAACTTGTAGGAGATGAGGAGAAGAAAATGGACCAGATCATGCAGGGCCCTGCAGGCAAGTTAAGAAGTGGCACTGTTAACCCTAGAGTTCACTCACAGACCCAGGACCTATGAGAGAAATTAGTACACTATTGCCTTTACTTCACATCAGAGAGCTTGTACTGTATAACAGCAAGATTCCAAATTGGGAAGGCAAAGTCTTGAACCTTGATCCTAATTTAGACACTAAATGATTTTTTTTTCCTTTTTGTCTTTTTTACTGACCGGTAATGGGATCGCAACCCTCGGTGTCGCGCCCGTACCGGGGACCGGCAACGGGATCGCAACCCTCAGTGTTGTGCCCGCACCACGCTCAGCCAGTGAGCGGGAACCGGTCTCCACATGGGGTCTGAACCCTCGGCGGGAGCGCCGCCACACTCCCAAGCAGCACACTCTCCAGTGCGCCACTGGGCCGGCCCTAGACACTAAATGATTAATAACAGAGCTTTGGTTGCCTATTTTTAACATGGAAAAAGCCATGCCTCCCTTATCTTTCTTCATAAAGGGATTGTCAGATGTCATAAGATGCCATAAAAGGTAAGATCTAAGATCTTGGCAGTGTCACCTTATGAGCATGCAGTTTTTAGATGAATTAGAACTGCTTCAATGAAGGTATGTTGTTTAAATTACTGAATAACATTCACTGAGCCAGGCGCAAAGCAGGAGAAACTTGTCTGGAGGAGATTACAAATTTGGTCTTGGGCACTTTAGGGGATGATGTTGTTTGCCCAATTTCAGAAAAACAGGAAGAGATGAAAGCAGATTCTAATTGATGTAGGAAGAGAAGTAGGAGACTAGAGACAACACTATGGCGAATTATTGCAAGCAAGAGTGAAGGGCAGGAAAGAGACAGGACACAAACAGCAGAAGATGTGAAGGGTTTGCTTATTTTAAATTAAGCCAGCTGCTGACAGTTGGGGCAGGCAGAAAAGGGAAGTGGAGAAGCAGGAGCACCAGGTGATGGCTGGTGAAATGAGGTCTCCAATGAGGCGGCTGAATGAAGAGCAAGGGACAGACTGCTGGCTTAGTTTCTATAAGAGAATAGAGGAAGAAAAGTAAACATGGGCCAAAATACCACTCCCCAGCACAAGCAAGTAAAGGATCTTGACAACATGTGAATCGGACTGAGTTTCTAACCCACAGTAGGCAAGCACTCAACCAATCCAGGAAGGACGGCTCCACACTATTCTCCTTTTCTTTAACTCTTCCTCTGTCTGTCTGTGCTCTCTATACTTCAGATGTAAACAGAAATAGTGCTATTCAAGATGGGCTGTGAGTTTATGAGTCATTTTCTCCCCAGCACAGCAATGAAAGAAAGAGCTAGTGCATAAATGTATAAAAGGAGTCTTCAAAAAGTTCATGGAAAGATTTGTATTATCTTTTAATTCAATTTTTCCATAAATTTTTTGAAGGACCCTCATATTTTAATCAAAAGATGTATCACCACTCAAAAGCAAGAAAAAGAGATGCACAGCTGAGAAATGGACAAAACACAAGATGGTAAGCTGGGACGTGGTCAGGCTCCAAGTCCAGAGGCCAGCTGAGGTAGCTAGGATCTGTGTCCTGTGGGGGAGAACCAAGAGCACTCATTCCCCTGCAGTATAACTAGAACCAGGTCGAATGCAAAACCAGGGGCTGAGACAACAGCCCCTAACCTTGGAAGAGGACTGAGAAAAGCTACAACTGCTGCCCAGGAGCTACAACTTGTGTTAATAACAAGCTGCCTACTGGCTCTGTGACCAGATCTGCAGAATCCCAATGTCACCGCAAGATGGGAGCTCTGGGCTACAAACACCTGGTTCTGCACTAGGGACCTGGAGGCCCACTGGGGGAATTGCAAAAAATAAGGCAGGGAGAAGTGAGCAGACAGAGAGGGTGGACAAACTCTTACTCAAGATGAACATACAAACTAAAATTCTTCAGCATATGAGAAAAACAATGAAAGTCAGCCAAGAAACTCAATAATCAGGAAACAAATTCACTCAAGATGAAAAACAAGACTATGAAGGTTAAACAATAATTGGCCCTCAATGAATGAGCCACTGAAGGATGTATTTCACCAAAAAGAATACCATGCCAAGAAGAAAGGTGCAGGATGTAAGAAACAATGACCAGAAGCAAACGTGATGCCAATACCAGCCCAAAAAATATAGAGACAGTGAATGTAGTCAGAGCTCAGTAAGTTTGTTGAACACACGGGTAGGTTTTATAAGCTAGATCTCTTAAATACTACAAGTAGCCAAACATCTAATCATCTTGTAGTTCCTAAAAATAACTCAGAAATTCTCTGTCTTAAAGGAACTGTTTTATATTTACAACAAGAGTAATTTTTTTTTTCCAAATTACCGTGGTATTTATTTATTTTTTTTCGTTAAATTTTTATTTTGTCAATATACAATGTATATGATTATTATGGCCCATCACCGACACCTCCCTCCCTCCTCCCTCTCTCCCCTCCCCCCCAAGAATGTCCTTTCCGTTTGCTTGTTGTAACAACTTCATGAAAGTATAGTTGTTATATCTTCTTCCCCCCCCCCCCCCCCCCCCCCCCCCCCCC